CCCCGAGCTTTCTAGAGAAAGGTCCTGGAGTGGGGGCTGCAGCAAACATTTTTCTGAAAGACCAGATAATAGATGGAAGATTTTGCAGCCACATGTGGGTCTCTATTGCATTTTCGTTCCTTTTCCTCCTCCTCCTCCTTCTTTTTGTTTTCTCAATCCTTGAAAAATGTGAAAAGCATTCTTAGTTCAAGGGCCATACCCAAACAGTCCAAGGAGATTTGCCATGCAGCCACAGCTTGCTAACCCCTGGAGGGCAGAACTGTGGGACTTCTCGGGGCGAGTCCAGTGAGAGGCCGCAAGGGGCAGTTGCTCAGAGGACCCATGTGGAGGTATTTTCCTTCCTCTCCTCCCTTTAGATGATTTTTGGCGACCTGATGCGATTCTGCTGGCTGATGGCTGTGGTCATCCTGGGCTTTGCCTCAGGTAAATCATCTGGCCGGGAAGGGGCCGTGGGAAGGGGAGGCTGGAGGAGGCTGGAGAGCCCAGAATGCCTGTGGATAAATGTGGGGGAAGCTGGGAGGGAAGACAGGGATAGGAGGCTGTCAGGTCTGAGGACGGAACATGCCTGGAGGTGAGACAAAACTGGGAGTGCTTCCAGACATGCCTCTTGGGATCAGGATAAGCCATACTGAAAATAAGGGAATATAAGAACCCAAAGCATGGAGCGTGGAAGGCTGGATGGGGACACTGGATGGAGAAGAGGGAAACAGGGCTGGAATGGGCAGCAAAGAGCTGGCCGTGGCCCAGTCTGGTATGTGGTTGCCATGGTAACTCTCACCCCCTTGGGTGGAGCAGCCTTCTATATCATCTTCCAGACAGAGGACCCCGACGAGCTGGGCCATTTCTACGACTACCCCATGGCGCTGTTCAGCACCTTCGAGCTGTTCCTCACCGTCATCGACGGGCCTGCCAACTATGACGTGGATTTGCCCTTCATGTACAGCATCACCTACGCTGCCTTCGCCATCATTGCCACGCTGCTCATGCTCAACCTCCTTATCGCCATGATGGGTGACACTCACTGGCGGGTGGCCCACGAGCGGGATGAGCTCTGGAGGGCGCAGGTGAGCCCCCTGGTGGCCGGGAGGGCTAGTGCAGGCCATTCCCCCCCCCCCCCCCCGCCCCAGCCAAGGACCGAGCTGAACTTAGACAGAAGCAGGATATTTTGACCCCACGTAGGTTTAGATGGTTTTACTGCGCAGGACACAAAATAACGCAGAGTATTCGCAATACAACGGACTAATACCTGAACAGCTGAAAAGAATTCATCATTTTCCCAAAAAGTAAAATCTCAGGCTTTTCTAGAAGAATCAACAAGAAATACAACTAATGGTGGATGAAAGTGCATTTAGGAAATCAGTCTGTAAAACCTGACGCAGAAAACTTGGACAGGTTAAAAAAAAAAATGCTGCAAAAACTTCCCAGAGGAGCGGAAGTTATCTTCGGTCAGATCATCACGATGGAGACAGAAGACCATTAAATGAGTCAAAGCACCGTTTAAAAATATACTTAGAAAATAATTTCTCTCCACAAAAATAAAAATGCAAACCCCCCAAACTGAATGGCACTTTGCTGTGCTGTGTAGAAAACAGAGTTAAAAGGCCCTAGGTTGGCTAAATGGGGTTTGCTCAGGAAAATAGGTTTCCATGCACACGTCCTGATACTCGATTTCTCAGTAGGGTGGTAGCATTTATAAGTGGCCTTTATGTCTGTAGGGTCAAAATATCCTGTGGCCCTGAGGATCCCTTTCTGTCTGCTTTGCCCTCTTTCCTGTCTCCTTGGGGCAGGGTCCCTCAACCTCCTGCAGGAGCTGCGCGGATGTCGGGTCCTGGGGTAAAGAGCTGTGGGCTCATGTCCCATGGACTCTGTCCCACAGAAGAGGGTCAGCCAAGCTGACACCCCGCACCCCCCAGCTTGGGGGTGTTGTCCCCTCTTGGAGGCCATGAGCTCCTGTGTTTCCTAGCTACTGCTACACTGTCCTTCCTCCGCCCGACGCCCTCTCCTCTTCCCGCCCTCCTCCGTCGATTTCTCGGTCAGCACCCCACCTCTGATGGCCCCTTCGGCCCCCACACGCAGGTGGTGGCCACCACGGTGATGCTGGAGCGGAAGCTGCCTCGCTGCCTGTGGCCTCGCTCGGGGATCTGCGGGCGCGAGTATGGGCTGGGGGACCGCTGGTTCCTGCGGTGAGTTCCTGCCGGGCTGGACGGCCTCCCGCTCCCGGGGCCCTGAGCCCGTTGACCCGCGTTGCCCGGAGGTCCCCCACGGGATCCCTGCTGTTAAGGGACGGGCCCCGCTAGATGCTCGGGCCCCCCGAAAGCCGCCGCTGAGATGCCGGCAGCTCCCGTGTGCGCACTAGCCGCAGTGGTGGGAAAAGGCCGGTCACGGTGGGATGGGGTGAGCGGAGGACACGACGCGGGCGCGGGTGCGGGCCAGCCCATCTGTCCTCGGCTGCCTCTCACGGCCTTGCGCTCCACAGGGTGGAAGACAGACAGGATCTCAACCGGCAGCGGATGCGGCGCTACGCACATGCCTTCCACATCCCGGGCTCCGAGGACTCGGACAAAGCCTCGGAGAAACCGCGGCTGGACCACCCCTCGGGCCCCCACCTGTGTCCGTCCACCCCCTCGGTGTCCCGAAGTACCTCCCGCAGCAGCGCCAACTGGGAGAGGCTTCGGCAAGGCACCCTGAGGAGGGAACTGAGGGGGTTGGTCAACAGGGGTCTGGAAGACGGGGAAGGCTGGGAGTATCAGATCTGAGCCAACTCTGCCGTCTGGCCCCAGCAGCTGCTCTCATTTTCCCCGGGGGGGGGGGGG